TTGTAAAACCGAATAAAACCAAACAGAATATCCGAAGTTATTCGATTATTCGATTAATCGGATACCAATGAAATCTCCGAAGTACAAAATTAATCGGATTTTTTGTTAATCCGAAGTCTTCGAATATCCGGATTTGGGATTATTATTCGTAAAACCGAATAAGACCAAACAGCATTAGTTTGTAGGCGGCAGTGTTGGTTTACGTGGAATAAATTTTTAACAGATAATGCCTACTGATTTAGTTAAGTTCTGTGATAGTTAATTTGAAGTTTCACAGGAAAGTAACAGAAACAAGAAAACAAAAAATTTACTAATGCAAGTTGGTTGGGGTATTCTTTACGAAACTGTGCTCAACTCTAAGCCTGTGTGTCAAACTATAAATGCCAAATGAGAGAATGACAGAATGAACCATCGCTTTTGACCGCCTCTATGTAGTTTCAGAGATTCTAAACCGGACACAGTTCAGTGAAAGATAAATCTCGCAAAAATCGCCCAAAATCTTTGAGTGATGATGTAAGAGTCGTTTTGTTGAAGTCCACAATTAATGAAAATCCAATACTGTGAAACCCTAAGCCTGTGTGTCAAACTATAAATGCCAAATGAGAGAATGACAGAATGAACCATCGCTTTTGACCGCCTCTATGTAGTTTCAGAGATTCTAAACCGGACACAGTTCAGTGAAAGATAAATCTCGCAAAAATCGCCCAAAATCTTTGAGTGATGATGTAAGAGTCGTTTTGTTGAAGTCCACAATTAATGAAAATCCAATATTGACCCAAGAAAATTGATTGCTGAGGAAATTGGCTTGCATCGCAAATATTAAGCAATCATTTTAGATACACAAAGAAATTATGACAGGTTCCTCAAATTTTAAATAAAGTGTTAAGAAAGCGCGTGTGTGTTTTTCTTTGAAAATTCAAAAATAAAACATTTAATTTCATTTATAAAATTCTAACGGGTGATGGAGCTTGGTTTAAGTATGATTCAGAAGCAAAATAATCGATGTTACTTCATTAAAGGCAAAGTTGTAGAAATTATTCCTTTTCAGACTAGACAGACCATCACTATCATCAATTGCTGTATCTTCCATTGGAGCATATGGCCTCAATAAAGCACTTTCATCTGGTTCCATTTTTTGTCAATATTTTCAGTTCGTTCCATGTTTTTCTGGACTCTCGATTTCCTTTTGCAATGTTCTTCTCCATGTGTTTTTAGGACGTCTCCTTGCACGGTTGCCTTGGGGGTTCCAAACAAGAGCATGTTGACAAATTTTCGTGGCGTCTAGACTGATGGTAACTGCTAAACGATATACTAAAATCTTCAAACATTTGTGGGGAAACCATAAAAAAAAAGAAGAGCATCGTTTTGATGGTTTGTGTATTACTATCACGCCCTAGTTTACAATGCTGACATAGCACAAAACTTTAGTGCGCTTTTTGTAAATTAAAAAAAATTCAAGAGTTTGGGTCTTTGAAAGTAATGTCGATCAAATCAAAGCAATTAATCTCGAAATTGGAAACTTCAAAAAATTCGATTTTGAGGACTGTTGTACAAAGTGGATCCACCAGCTCTAAGAATTGCTGGAAATCAAATAAAAATAATGATTAAGGTTGTGAATTTATAATTATTTTC